GGGGGGGGGGGTTTCATGAAGACGGGCTCAGTGGGTAAATTTTAGCCGACAGAAGCAGGAGGCAGTGGACCTTGGCAGCAGCCGTCTGTGGGACAAAGAACTAATGAACTGACAGATTCAGGGTAGAACAAAGATCAGAACCATTAAAGGACTCCACCAAGATGAAGGTTATAAAACAGATTCCTTTAAAGCTCTGATCCTGGTCAGAGTTGCAGGAAGTGAGTAATTTTCAACCTGTGAAAAGAAAACCCAAACACACGTCCTGGTATCTCAGGTGAATCGTTGCATCAGTATTTTGTCCTCCACCTGACGGAGGATGGATTTGTGTGTTTTCACTGAGTCTCGTGCTTCTTCCTGCAGCGATCTGCCGGAGTTCGTGTGGAGATGGTTTCTGCTCCAGACCCAACATGTGCACCTGCCCCAACGGACAGATTTCTCCATCCTGTGGATCCAAGTCAGGTCATTCATCTCCTCCTCTCTGATAAATACCAGGCATGGGTCAGAGGTCAGCTGGCTCTAGGCCAAACTCATCAGCATGATTTATACTGAAACTGAGTCCAAACCGCACCCTATCTCAACATGCTTTTAGATAAAGTGGTTGTAACCTTTCACCTCTTGACAGTCCGTAACAGTGGGAAATTACAGAAAATATGCAGCCTTGTCATAAAATGTTCTGTTACATGTAACTGGATCCAGATACTTCAGCACTTGGCCCAAAATAAAACTGAACCAACGATTTGCCTGCAAACATCCTTGCAGATTGGAGCAGATGATATATGTTGCAATCATGTTTTTGGAAGCCGATCTTGTGGGTTTTTGTGTGTTTTGGAAGGAGTCCACAGTCAACATCGCCATGTTTCTCTCATGGAGCTCACAGCTCTTCAAACCAGTGAGCTCAGATGTTTCCACAACCTAAATTATATTTGAGATCAGTTGTTGAGAAATCAATCTGAGGGAGATTTGTTTGTGTTGTTAATGTTTTCCAAAGTGAAGTAAGTTTGAGTCCTCTGATTCTGACTCCATCAGTGGCGTCTGTGTGTTGTGCCCACAGTTCAGAGCTGTAATATCCGGTGTATGAATGGCGGATCATGTGCGGAAGACCACTGCTTGTGTCAGAAAGGCTACGTGGGAAACCACTGCGGTCAACGTAAGTGCAGCTTTGGTTACTTTCAACAAGAACAGCTGATGTTTATCACATATGGTCCTATTTTCTAATATATTTGCTTTGATGTTTGTGTAAAGTATTTAACATTCTTATTTTCAATAATTCTCTTCAAACCTAAATATGTCCCAGTCACCTTGTTCGTAGCTCCTGGTGGACTTTTCATGTCATCTCCTGGATTGTTTTCTTCCTCAGCGGTTTGTGATAATGGCTGTCAGAATGGAGGGCGCTGCGTGGCTCCCAACAGATGTGTGTGTACGTACGGCTTCACCGGAGCCCAGTGTGAGAGAGGTAACCACTCACTCATCTTCTATCCCACATTGTCTGAGCTTCAAGTATCTCTGCTTTTGTAAATTTGTGACTGGATGTCAAACACTGATTGTTTTTTGTAACTGCTCAGTCATGCCCTCGGCTGTAAGAACAGGATTTGGTGTGAAACATTTGCATGTGGAGCTCAGAGATGAGCTGTATTTTCCACATCTGTTCAAAAACAATGTTCTCTCTGAATGTTTCTGTTTGTCAAGTAAAGACCGCCGTGGCCCCTGTGGTTCCTCTTCGACACAAACTGAGGGCAGTGTGTTTGTGTGTATTCTGGCATGTGCTTGTGTTTGGCGTTTGTTCTGTGTGTGTGGCACCATTGACCTCTTGGAGTCTACATGTTGACCATTTATTGCTGCTATTAGGATTGGCAGCAGGACTCTGCATTAGTGATGTTCTTTTTAAGTGGACCAGTCTTCAGGGATCTGTCAGACATCAGCATTTGTTTGTTGCGGTTTAAACTTTGCATGCATCTTCTAGCCCTGACTCTTCTGTGTATTATTTATTTATTTTGCTCGTATTAGCTTTAGAACATATTTAGCACCTACTACCATCTCAATGTCTTCAGGAAACCGAGTGAACCTCAGAAATCTTTTGGTGTGGTGTTGGAAATAATGAGAAGGCAGGAACACATCTGGGTTTGAAATGGGTTTTCTCAGTAAAATGAAGAGAATAAAAACAAACCACTCACAGTCAGTTTTTGTTTTCTGTGTTGTTGGCATGAAACTGAGTGAAACTGGAATTGGAACTGCACATGAAGCTGGACAGAGGTCATGTGGCCACACATGTCATCATGTTGGTACCACAACCAGAGGTTCTTTTAGTCCTTTGGGTCATTTATTGAGTTTTTATTACAGTATTTTTTTGTTATTTCTAAATACAATATATACAGGTAAAGTCATAAGAAAAAAAATCCTCCAGAACATTTTGGTCTACAGAGAAGTTCCTGGTCCACTCAGTGATTGACAGGAGTCCAAACCATCAGCCCTCCACCACTGTGCTGACAGCTGGGAGGAGCTGTTTGCTGCAGTGCATTCTGGGTAAACATCTGACCTCTGGTCTGGTTCTGGTCCAGAAGTTTTGTCGTTCCATCAGATGAAACTTTCCAAACCTAAGTTGAGCTGCCATGTTATTTTTAGAGAGAAGAGGTCATGACCTTTGACTTTTGACCTGCTGACTGAGGCCTGTAGAGTCACTGCATGGTCTGACCTTCAGGGTGAATCATCTTTCTCTCTGCAGAACGATGGACCCTTAATGACGTTTGACCTTTCTAAAGTTGATGAGAAGCAGCAGCTGCTTCTTTGAGGTCATTGCTGATGTCTTTCCACCTTGGTGTTGTGTTAACACACACCTGCATGGTCCAGATCTGAGGTGGTCCCCCTGATGAGGATCAGTTGATTAACAGCTCCAGATCCTGAATCTCTGAGGTCCAGTGGAAGCAGCAGTACTGGAACCATTTTTTTCACTCCCAGCTTTAACTTTTGGTTTAATAAATAATGTCTCACTGGAATCTGTTGTGTGTTTTTGTTCACAAGAAATGAAATTAGAATCATTTTAGAACCTGATCAGATTGTTATATCCTGAAACCTGCACCTGGAGGAGGTGGACTTTTTCTCAGAACTTTAATTTCTGCTTTTTACTTTTTTGTTGAAACAAATAAGCAAAACTAAATGTTCAAATCCTTTCTGGGACCTTTCTGGGTGGAGTTTGCATGTTCTCTCCGTGCATGCGTGGGTTTTCTCCGGGTACTCCAGTTTCCGCTCACAGACCAAAAACATGCATGTTAGGCTGACTGGTAACTCTAAATTGTCCCTAGGTGTGAGTGAGAGAGTGAATGGTTGTTTGTCTCGTTTGTCTGTATGTGGCCCTGTGATGGACTTGTGACCGGTCCAGGGTGTACCCCGCCCCTCCCACAGGGATTGCTGGATATGGGCACTGGCGACCCCCGTGACCCGAAGAGGCGGGTACAAGATAATGGATGGATGGATGGATGGATGGATGGAATGGATGGATGGATGGATGGATGGATGAATGGACTTTTGAGGCAAAACCAGCCCGGTCAGATCAGAACAGACCAAACAACACAAATCTTTTTTTAACCATTTTTTTTCTTCTTTCAGCTGGTCCCTCTTCGGGTTCTGCACAGCGAGTTATCCTCCTCCATCTCACTTTGTCCTCTGTCCTCATTCTGTCCTCTGTCCTCACTCCAACTACCTCCATGTCCTCTCTAACTGCATCCATATGTGTCCTCATTGTTTTTTTTCCTAGCAGCTGCATTTCTAACATCCTTCTACCAATATACCCACTGTCCCTCACTTGGACATGTCCAAACCACTGTCCCTCCTCTGGACATGTCAAAACCATCTCAGTCTGGCCTCTCTAACTTTATCTCCCAGTTGTTCAACCTGTGCTGTACCTCTGATGATCTCATTTCTAATCATATCCATCCTTGTCACTCCTAAGGAGAATCTCAGCATATTCATTTCTGCTACGTCCAGTTCTGTCTCCTGTCTTTTTGTCCAGCTAGTCTAGCTTCCACAACTCTCTCCCAGATCTTCATTGTGGCTCATCAACTTAATTCCCCTTTAGTTACTACAACTTTGTACATCACTCTTACTCTTACAAATGGCCACCAGCACACTTCTTCTCCATTCCTCAGGTATTTTCTCACCCTCATATATGCCATTGAATATTTGAGTAAGAAAAACTCACTGCCGTCTCTCCAAGGCATTTCCAAACCTCTACTGGTATGTCATCAGGTCCTACTGCCTTCCCCATCTTCATTCTTTTCAGAGATTTCTGAACATCACCCTCACTAATCTTTCCCACTTCCTGGTCCACAGTTTCTAAGACCTCTACTCTTCCTTCTCTTTCTTTCCTTTCATTTATTAGCTCCTCAAAGTATTCCTTCCATCTTCCCATCATGCTCTCCTCACTTGTTAGAACATTACAATTCCTATTTTTAACAAGCCTAACATGCTGCACATCCTTTCCAGCCTGATCCCTCTGTCTCGCCAATTGGTACAAGTCCTTCTCGCCCCATTGAACCCTCACAAATCTTATTTTTTAACCAAATGAATATAAAGAAATTCTGCACGGTTCAGACTACAGGAGGTTTGGCCTCCCAGATTTTTACCCAGATTTGTCCCTCCAGATATTTGCAGGAGAAACCTGGTTCAGGACTCTAGCTGGTATCCAGGTTCAGCTCAGAGAGCTGCATTTGTCCGACAGTTAAAATGTTAACATATTCTGAAAGTCTTTGTTGATGTTTCTTTCTGCATGTTCTTGAGGTCAAGTCACTTGATGGTGAATTACTCCCTGATTGCCTCCATCTGTTTGATCATCTCTAGTATTTCCCGTTTTATGCTCTGTTATGTTGAAGTTTTGTGTCATGAATAGATTTAAGATGGAAGTTAAAGTATGTGAAAACTCCATTTCTTCTTTTTGTTGGGGTTCTAGTTAGTTCTAGGTTTTTTAATATATTGTGTGATTCCTTGTGTATTTTCCTTTGTACTGAAACTCTGGCACAACAATTTCCTGTGGGGTCAATAAAGTTCTATTTTATCTTATTAAGAGAAGATAATTATCTTATCTTATCTTATTTTATCTTATCTTATCTTATCTTATCTTAGTGACAGAAGTATTGGTTTTCTATATGTTCCACCCTTCTGTGCTTGGGATTACATTTTTATCACCCGCCGTCAAAAAGTGAAAGAGTGATCATGCTTTTGCTTGTGCATATGTTTGTTTGTTTGTCTGTTGGCAAAATACTATATCAATGATTTAATGAAATGTTCAAAACATAAAAATATTGAATATACTTCTACTTTGTATAAATGAATAATTTCAAGATGGCTGCCACAGCTAACAGCCATTAGCCAACATCTGAACTCAGTCAGTTTCATAGAAATTGAGCTAATATATGATCAATCAACATTGAGGGTAAAATCCAAGGTGGTCTGTTGGATTTTATCAAAACACAATTAATAAATACTTTCTCTTTTTGAAGGAAAGGTCTGGAATACGATCCAAAAGAATCTAATCACGTTGAGTCAGGTCCTCCGGATGGATTATTCTTTGTTGAAATGTTTCGTCTTTCATCCAAAAGACTTCTTCGGTCCAGTCCAGAGGACCTGACTCAACCTGGTTAGATCTACCTGGATTACTGAGCATGCATCAGGACAATCCTAAAGAATGTTCTGCAGCTCTTTTCTGAGAAGAACCAACATTTATTGATGAACATGAGCAGAAAGCACTACATTTTAGCTGCTTCCCTGCATGCTAGAGAAGCTATTTTTAATACCAGCTGGAAACCCTGAAAGCTTAATCTGGTCTGAGGTTTCCTCTTTCAGACGATGTCAAGAAATCCTCAGAATCTTCTAAAAATATGATTCAGAACCATTTTCCAGGGTTTATCCTGATTAATAAGACAAATCCAGCCGCACGTCTTTGTATCTATTGGTTGGTTCTCTGCTGTGCGTTTGGGTAAACTCTGACGTAAAGGATGTAGATCAGTGATGTTCTGTTCTATGACATGTTGGACCCCCATGTGTTTAAAGAACCCACTCAGCTTTTACCTCCGTTTACAGAGCCGTCCTCCATTATGGCTCCATCTTATCTCATTAAGAAGAACACGAGGTTTCCTGCAACACGTGATCCGATCTGGAGAGATACTTAGGATTCTGAGTCTCTCCTGGTCGTAGAAACATCCTGCATCTCTCACAGCCTGAACCCATCACGGCTGCAGGATGACAGCTGATCTGCTGACCCGCGGTCCCACGACTCGGCACAGCTGACTGGATCAGTGCGTTCTTTGTTGGCTCCAAATGAAATTTAGGTTGGAATCCTGAGATTCAGCCACACCGCTGCTGTGCTCAGGCGTCCTGCTGCAGAGGCATTCAGCTGCGCAGCAAGGGCACCAGGCGAATCGGCTGAGGTCAGGGGCACGGGCCAGAACCCAGGCAACAAGTGAC